CTCTCAGCTCTCTCTTGCCCTCTCTCTCTCTGTCTCTCTCACTCTTGCAGACTTTTAGAGATGCACGCCCCCACCTTCTGCTCCTTCCCAAGAAAATGAAAAGCCCTCGAGGACCCCCATTCTAACTCTGAAAAAATTAAAACCTAATAGACATTAGATTTCCCAGCTCACCGCCCGGTTAAGTGCTCATTGAGAGCACAAGCCAGCCTGTTTGGATTTGCCTTTTTTCCTTCTCATCCTCACCCGCCTTCTCTACACTCCCAGTTAGGAAACCCAGGGCCAATTTGGCAAGAGGACTTAAGATGCAATAAGGAGGAACTTCTTCCTCCCAGCGCCTTAACCCATTGTGAGAATTTCCAGGCTGACCCTCAGGAAAGCCCCCCGAAACGGGAGAAAGAGATCTCCCAGTGCCTCCCCCTCCCCCACCCCCCGATCTTGGGCCTGGTGACTTGGAACCGAAGGGGTTGCGGGTCTCTGGAGACCCCTTGGACTCTGGTCAGTATAGCCTAGTGGTGCGAGCACAGAGCCAGATCCCAGTCCGGCCACTGCCACTGCCCCTCCCGGCTGTGGGATCTTGGGCTAGGACCTTGATCTCTGTTTTCTCCACCGAGCAAGAGAGCTCTTAACGGTGCCTCGCTCTGCAGGAGCTGGGAGGGTTGTCAGGTGTCCCCTGTGTGAACATGAAGAGTCGCCAGTAGGGCTGCTGTCAGAAAGGGGAGTGAGGGGTTAAGCCAGCGCTCTGGGCCAGTCCCTTGCCCGCTGCGGGACCTCGTTTCCCCCTATATAGCTCACAGGCCGCTGGCTGATGAAGACGAGCACTGCTTTGGAGCAACCCCGGGGGCAGACTGCAGACCTGGCTTGCTGGCTCGCCTCTTCTGAGCCCACCGTGCCAGCTGGTTTTCTTCTGCTCCAACCCGTCCTGATGCAGCTCAGCGGCCTCTCCAGATCCATCGCTCGCTCCTCCCACCCTCCTGAATGAAAGGGGATCTCGCTTAAAGAGGAGACTCCCCTTGCAGATAAGCCCCAGCCTGCATCTGCGTGTCCTGCCCGGACAGCTAGTGTACACATCGCTGCTCAGGAATTCAGTGTCCAGAACCCTCTTGTGCAACCTGACTCTTCTTTAAAAGGAGGGCTTCTAGCTTCTGCTGACTCCGGGTAGTTCCGGGGCCAGAATATTCAGACTTGCCCTGCTCCTCCGAAATTGATCTCGGTGATTCAAAAGGCTGCGATCAAATCCATGCTCGTGTTTAAAAGCACCTGGCCAGGAGCCCCCTGGGGAAATACTCCTCAGATCGTTGACAAGGTGGGAAGACGATCCGATCATGTTCTCCTCGGCTGTTGATATTCTTGACCACTTTCCCACCCTGTGAGCCTGCGCATGTAGGGCTCAAGCGGCTACGGGGGTGCCTTAACCGCTGCTGAGCGACACAGCGGTATCGAACCCTGGGAACTCGGAGTGAGCCCGAGACATTGGGAGAAGCACTCCCTCTTCGGGGGCTTTAGAAGAGCCCAGTGAAGTTGGAATCATTCAAAGGAAAGCTTCGAGTGCTGACTCAGGGAATCAGAACCGGGGGCCTGGTGCCCCCATTTCCGGGTCTTCAAGAGGGCCCCAATTTCCAGATCTTTCTTAGAACCCTTTCTGTGTGACCTGTCCCCAGACGTGTTAAGCTCAATCCATAGTGTGCAGTTTTGTAGGGTAGATTGTTTCTAGAACATTTCCAGCCCTTAAACCCTAGACTCAGTGGATGTGACCTCTTAGCGTCCCCTTTAATTCCTTGCCCCCCCGAAA